CCCCCCCCGAATATTAAAAGAGCAGGAGATACCACAAGTTTTAAAGCCTAGTCTGACATAAAGAATTCCAAGCATAAAATTACTTGATGTGACATTTTGTGTCTCAGCATGAGGTCAGTTTAAAGGGTTATGCAGAGCTCTTTGATGTGTGAGAAATATAGCAAAAGTAGCATTGGTTAAATGATGGCAATACATCAAGTATTCTCAGGAGCCCAAGGATCCACAGAACACATTTGCTTGATGGACATTTCTCTGCCCAAGTGCGGAAACAACTTAGGAAGATAGCCGTTATCTCCTGAAGGACATCTGCACAGGCTGTTTACAAAGGGCTTTCCAGAGCAGAGAGGTTAATCTAATCAGAGGACACAAGCAGGAAAATTTCCTGTTTGGTCACTTCGGTAATGAACACAGCGTTAACAGAGCTTCCTGGTTCGCTCGCCGTGGTGTTCCGATTAAAAACTTATTTTGATAAGCTTGCTTTTCCTCCTTTCTGTCTCATCCTGAAGTTAGTTTTTCTTCTTTCGTCAGAAGCTGCAGACTTGCATGGGTTCATGTCTTAGTTCAAGATATCTATGGCCTGTAGTGTGCTAGAAGTCTAGGTATTTTCTTTTGAAATTAAAAGTCAGATGAGGCAATGGTTAGATAAATGACTGACAACACAAACACTGCTCTAGGTCATATTTTCCCTCATGAATACATTAGATTTGGCACAACCCATTAAATTCTAACATCCTCCCTTACAATCTAATCCATTTAGATTTTACGGAGCCATGTGCATCTCCCACTAATATTGCTGCAGGACCTTTTACTTGCTGTTCGGTTTAATGCCATCCCCTAAAATATATGCCCACGAAAGGCTTCTAAATGAATGTTTGCAGTGAAACAGAATTAATGTATTCAATTAATTGCCAGGTTGCTTGTGATGGTAATTGCGAATAATGAATCTATATCAATGTCACCAGAAGAAGTAGAGTTTAATTCTATATTGAGGAGGGGCTGAAAATCAATGCATGGTACTCATTTAATTATGTGTGTCTGAGCTAAGCTCCGAAAGCCCATGCACGGCTTTAGCAGAGGCACTGCTGTTTAGATCTGATTAATGATCAATAGGATGTTTACTGCCCTTATTTTCAACAGAATCAATGGGGATTACTTCTGATGCACAAAGGAAACTCTAGAAGTGCCATAAGTAATGAACAAGCTTGTTAGAGAGATTTCCGGCATGCTCTTCACATGCTACAAGTTGAACCTTGCAAAACGCTTTTATCAGAGTGCAACCTCAGATGTCCTTGTGGATGCATCGGAGCAGATCATTATATTGCGCTGAGATGAATGGAGAGCAAGACCTATTTGAAAAGCCAATTTTATTTTATTTTTTTACAGTTATTAGATGTAATGTAATCCATAATGCGCAATTCAAAACAAGATGTTATATTCTGTGTCAGTGCCTTGTGTTTGTTATATCATGTTGTATCGAATACTGTTTCAGGTCCAAACCTTTACTCCATTTCAAGTGAAAATGCTAGCTCAACAGCCATTATTGAGCAATATTCATTTATAGCACACCTTTAGGCCCAATCCCAATTCTATTTTATACCCCTTCCCCTACCCCTCCGCCTACCCCTTCCCCTTGTCCCTTGTAACAGAGTGTCAAGGGGTAGGGGTGAAAATATTCCCCTAAGAATTGGGACACCACTACTATGCCGTCACACGTCATCATACGTCGTCTAGCTCCTACAATACACACACCTATACTGGTGTGCTGGTGTG